TCTTTCCCTCTCTAGTCAAAAGAAAAAAGAAAAAAATAAATGAGTAATTTTATTTTTTAAAAAAGTGTGTTGGGACCAGCAAATAGTGTAGCAGTTATGTTGCTGGCCTCCACATGTTCAACAGTGGTTCAAGTCCCGGCCCCAATGGCTTGAAACTCGCACTGAGTGTGGGGGTGTGCGTGTCCAAATTTTCACAAAGAGAATGGAGAAGAAGGGATTATGGTGTGGCCATCCCCCCAGGGCGTGATTTCTCACTTTCCCTCTCACTATCTTTCCGTCTCTCTTTCTCTGGTGAGCACACATGCCTTATGGCAAAAACCTAAAAATAAAAAAAGAAAGCAGCCTCAAGGGGTGGGGGGAGGGGCTCAGAAAAAAAAAAAGACATATTTAAGAGATGCAAGAGGATGGTGGGTATGGTTATATCTTTGACTTGATGGACATGCACTGAAAAACAGCATTGTACGCTGTGAAGATGTATAATGATTACAAGTACACAAAAAGGAAAAAGAGAAGAAAACAAGGTGATTCAAGGTTATGTCGAGAGTTGGAGGAGCAGCTGAGATAAGAACCCAGGTCTGCCTTTTCCAGAGCCTGTGCTCTCGCCATTCTCATGCCACCTAGAAAATCACAAAGGGGGACCAGCAGGTGGTTAAGGGTGCTGGACTCCCACATGGCTGACTGCAGTTGGAGTCCCGAACCTGGTGGCTTGCTTTCTCACTTTCCCTTTCTCTCTCTGTGTGGTCAAAATATAAAATAATAAAAACAAATAAAATGTAATAAATAGTTTTTTTTTAAAAAAAGAGAGAGAGAAAGAAAAAAAGGAAATCAGCAAAAGATTAAGAAAGAAGGAACTGCTTCTATGATAAGAATGTATGGGATGGGACCAACAGGTGGTGCGGTGGTTAAAGCGCTGGACTCCCACATGGCCGATTACAGTTCAGGTCCCGACCTGGTGACTTGAAAATCACGCCTGGCGCATGTGCGTGCGTGCATGTGGGCATGCTCAAAAATCTCAGGAGGTGAGGGGATTGCAGCATGGCCATGCCCCCTGGGGGGGTTCTCTATTTCTCTCTCAGTGTCTCTCTCTGTTTCTCTCTAGCAAGTGCACATGTCCTATGGATAAACCCCCCCCCCCCAAAAAAAAAGAAAAAAGAAAAAAGAAGAATGTGTGGGATAAGAGGAGTATTTGAAAGGACGCCGTTAGGACGCTCCTGCACAGAGAAAAGACCAGAGCAGAGACGTCATCGTGGGCATTTGAGATAACAAGGCAGGTTAGGCCAGCAATGACGCCTCTGGTTAGCAGCAGTGAAACCTGAAGCAGAGCACACGGGAGGACCCGGAGCAACACCCAGGCCCAGGCTGGTGGCAACTCCTGGGACCAGCTGGCCAAGATGAAAGAGTGATGGATACACCACGGGGCTCAGTTTCCTTTGGTGTGTAGAGGTTTACGGGTGAGCTGTACAGTGAACTGCATGAGATATACCTTAGACACAGGGGCAAACTGAGGCCAGAGAAGAGGAGAAACGCAGACAAAATCTGCAATGCTGGGGTCACCTGGAAGACCGTGTTGCCTCCTAGGTCATGTGTGTGCACAAGTGCATGCCGCTGATCCTGGCTGGTTGGGAGGCTGAGTGAGGGGATTGTGGCATGGAATCTCTCTTGCTCTCTCTCTCAAAACATAAAATAAAAATGAACTTAAAAAAAGTGCCAGTAGGGGGGCCAGCTGGTGGCATGGTTGTTAGGGTTCTGGACTCCCACATGGCAGACCGTGGTTCGAGTCCCAGACCTGGTGGCTTGCCTTCTCACTTTCCCTCTTTCTATAGGGCATGTATGGCCTATAGCAAATTTTAAAATAATAATAACAATAATAAATTAAATAAGGGACCAGCAGTTGGCGTAATGACTATGTGGCTGGATTCCCATGTTAGCTGACCACAGTTCGAGTCCCGGACCTGGTGGCTTAAACTCACACCAGGTGCATGTGCGTGTGTGTCCAAGATTCCAAGAGGAGAATGGAAGAGAAGGGATTGCAGCGTGGCCATCCCCCCGTGGGGTGATTTCTTGCTTTCTGTCTTTGTCTCTCTCTGTCTTTCTGGCGAGCGCACATGCCCTATATCAAAAAATAAAAATAAAAAACTCTCAAAACAAAAAAGAAAGAAAGAAATGCAGAAGGTTCTCATTTGAAGCAGAAGCCAGATCGTAGCCTCTGATGGCGCCTCAGGTAAAATCGTCCATGCATGTGTGTAGTGACCTTCTGGACCCACTCGCACACCTCTGAGTTACTCAGTCAGCCTTTTTCTTTTTTTCTTTTCTGTTTTTAATTGCCAGAAGGTGCAAGCGGTCACCAGAGGGAGAGAGAGGGGAAGGGAGAAAGCACCCCACAGTGGAGCACGGTCTCACTACAGTCCCTCTCTCCCACCTCTCCATCCTGTTGGGATTCGGGGCATGTGCGCCGAGTGTGTTTTTCCAGCTGTCAAGACCAGGATTTAAACTGTGGTCTGCTACGCGGGATTCTGTTCCTTCACCTCTAAGCTATGGCCTGACCCCAGGCTGCCATTTTCTCATCATTGACATTTATTTTTTGAGAGAGGGTTTTGCTATAGGGCATGTGTGCTTACCAGAGAGACAGAAAGAGAGAAACCACCCCCGGGGGGATGGCCACCTACAATCCCTTCTCCACCACTCTCCTCCCAGGATCTTGGGCCCGCATGCACACACGCCCAGCATGTTTCAAGCCTCCAGTCCAAGACTCGAACCATGGTGAGCCATGAGGGAGTTCAAGTGATATAACCATTATGTCATCTGCTGGTCCCTTGTTTACATTTTTATTAGCACTGCAATTATCTTCTTTTTTTCTTTTTTTTTTAAGGTGTGTTTATTCTTCCCATAAGAGAGAGAAAGAGAGACAGGCACCCCTAACAAGGTCCTCCCATTGAGATCCAGCCCCAGCCCCAGTCAGTCGGATCATGGACATATGGATGTCCAACGTGTTTAGGAAGGTCTCGGGATGCAAACCGAGGACCTTTGCACTCCCGTCTAGTTGCACTACCCCTATGCCACTGTCTGGCCCGCCTCCTCTGGTCGATTCCACTACTTCAACCAAGCACATTCGCAGTATGCATCCAGGAAGATGCAAATGCGTGGGGATATTATATTCACCTGTGCATGTGTGTGCATGCATGTGTGTGCGTGTGCATGTGCATGTGCTTGTGTGTGTGAGATTCTGTTTATGTAAGCATGCGGAAGGAAGGAATCAACAATTCCGTCACTTGTCTGACACAGGTAGCTGCAGTGTAGACATAATCCTCTTAATCCTCTCAACTGCTAGGAGGTAGGGACCATGCTTAGCCTCATTCTACAGACCGTGGCTGAGGCTCAGAAAGAAGTGTGTGTGGTGGTGGGGGGTGTTTCTCTCCCAAGTTTACACAGCCAGCATGGGAAGCATTTGGTTCCACTTGGGCTCTCTGCACAGCACCATGAAAAGATTCAGGTGGGGATGGCAGGTAGTGTGGTGGTTAAAGGCACTGGGTTCCCACATGGCCGACTGTGGTTTGAGTCCCAGATTGGGCAGCTTGCTTGCTTGCTTTCTCATTCTCTTTGTCTCTCTCTGGTCACATAACAAATTAAATTAAAGGGATCAGCAGTTAGCGTAATGGCTATGTCGCTGGACTCCCATGTAGTTGACCGCAGTTCAAGTCCCAGACCTGGTGGCTTAAACTCACGCCGGGTGCGTGTACGCGTGCATGCCCAAGATCCCGAGAGGAGAATGGAGGAGAAGGGATTGCGGCATGGCCATCCCCCCTGGGGGGTGATTTCTCGCTTTCTGTCTGTCTCTGTCTCTCTGGCAAGCACACGTGCCCTATAGCAAAAGCCTCTCCCCCCCAAAAAAAAAAAGAAAAGAAAAAAGAATTAAATAAATAATTCTAAAAAACCGAAAGATTCAGGTAGCAGACGTAGGCTGGTACGTGGCACTTCCTGCTCACCTATCTTGCATCGAGTTGCTCCTAACCCTCCTTGTCCCCTAGAAAGCGATCGGAAGCAGCTGACACCTTGGGTTGCTACACGCTCTTGGCAGAAGTTTAAAGACTTGTTCTCAGAACAAACATCGGTAAGTCACTCGCGCTTTTCCCAGACAGCACTGCGTGGCAGCCTCTCACCGGGTCGATAGTTTCAGAGTTCAGTCTTTAAAATGGAACAGAAGCAGGCTGCCAACTTTCCCACCGAAAATAATAGCTACCGTTCGAGCACTTGTTCTGTGCCCCTCTGTGCTAAGCGCTTTATACTCATCACCTCTTTCCAAACTCACGCCCTGTAGGAGGGGAGTTTTGATCCCAAGCTCCAGATGAGGAAGCTGAGGCTGGGATAGATGAGCGCGGTTCCCCGCAGCCGCTGCCTATGTCCACGTCTAGAGTGTCATCTCTCTGCTGGACGTCCGCCCAAAGCTGGACTGCCCTGTCCTCTGTCACCTGCTTCAGCTTTGTCTGCTGCCACCGAGAAGGCATGGACTCCTTCTTCCCCCAATGCCCAGCTCAAAGGTACATCGGTCACTCACCAGATGGGTGAAATTCGTGGAAAGAAAGCGAGGCAGCTGCCAGGGGTACAGGATCCTAATTCCAGGGGAGGCTCCTGACTCTGGAGTGTCCTGTCTTCAGCCCTCTGCCTGCCAGAGGGGACTGGAGCACAGGGTCAAAGTCTGTCAGGGCACAGGTCGAGGGTGGGGCTCCCCACTGCGCGCTCCCAGGGACTGGACCCAGGCTGCAGGGGAGACCTCACCTCCCTACACTCCCAGTCCCTGCAACATTGCCTGACTTTTCTGGCTGATCCCAAGCCCCCGGGGACGGGCCTCCTGGGGGGAGGGAGGGAGGGCGAGTGTTCTTGGAGGACTGATGGGCACAAGAAGGTCTGTCTCCCTGGCCAGCTGGAGACGATCGCCTTTCTTCCTTCCCGCTGCCACCCTGGGGGAGGGGAAGGTGTTTCCCTGGGCCACTGTGGGCCTGGCCTGCAGGGTGAGGTGGGGGCGGTCAGCCCAGCCTGGCAGTCCCTGAGGGGAGGCCAGAGGCACAGGCCAGCCAGCCCAGTGCCATTCTGGGACACGGGCTTCATCGCCAAGGAGAGACCAGAGGTGAGGCCTGCCTGGACCACGCCAGGGGCAAGACTCCAGGCCCTTCCTCTGCCAAGGCCAGACCTGGAGCTGAGATTGCTGGAGCCTGAAGTTCCTCAGGGAATTGTCGCCGTACAGATGGGGAGACTGAGGCCCAGAGAGAGGGACCAGCCCTGGGGGAAGTATTGTTTGGGTCAGCTTTGATGGTCCAGCCTCCATCACCCTGCTGACAGCATCATCCAATGAAAAGGGGGAAATGGGGATTAGCAGATGGCATAATGGTTATATCACCAGACTCCCATGTAGTTGACCGAAGTTTGAGTCCTGGACCTGGTGGTTTAAAATGCCAGGTGTATGTGTGTGCACGCCCAAAATCCTGAGAGGAGAAGGGGTTCTGGTGTGGCCATCCCCCAGAGGGCGATTTCTCACCTCATTTCTTTGTCTCTCTCTATCTGGTGAGCACGCATGCCCTACAGCAAAAATCTCTCTTAAAAAATAAAGGGGGGGGACCAGCAGGTAGCGTAATGGCTATGTTGCTGGACTCCCACATAGTCAACCGCGGTTCAAGTCCCGGACCCGGTGGCTTAAACTCACGCCGGGCGTGTGTGCGTGCGTGCCCTAGATCCTGAGAGAAGAATGGAGGAGAAGGGATTGCGGCGTGACCATCTCCCCTCTGGGGGGTGATTTCTCACTATCTGGCGCTCTGTCTATCTCTGTCTGTCTGGCGAGCGCACGCGCCCTATGGCAAAAACCTCTCCAAAAAAAATAAATAAATAAAATAAAATAAAGGGGGGAAATGAGGTGGCTTTGTACTGTAGTGGTTAAGGAACTGGATCCCCACGGCCAGCTGCAGTTTGAACCCTGGCCCTGGAGCCTTCAAGAACACACCAGGTACTCGTCTATGTGTGTGCTCAAAGTCCCAATAGGGACAGGGAAATGGAGAAGGGATTCTGGTGCAACCACGCCCCATCAGGGGGTGCTTTCTCCCCCCTCTGTCTCTCTCTCTCTGTCTCCTCCGGCAAAAACGTGTGCTCTCTGGCCATCAGAAAGAAAAAATAAAAAGTGAAAATGAAACAAGAACACGCTTACAGACTACTTAATGCATAGAATTTTTCTTTTTTTAATTATTTAATTTTATTTTTTCTTCTTCTTCTCCTTCTTCCTTCTCCTTCTCCTTCTCCTTCTCCTTCTCCTCCTCCTCCTCCTCCTCCTCCTCCTCCTTCTTCTTTCTATTTGACCATAGAGAGACAGAGAGAGAGAGAGAAAGCAAGCCACCAAAACCACAGTCAGCCAGGTGGGAGTCCAGCACCTTAACCAATACGCCACCTGCTGTCCCCGAATTTTTCTTTAATAATGAAAAATAGGGTGGGCTGACTTCGTTGCCCGGTGGTTAATGTGGCTGAATACCATATGGCTGATCCTTCAGTTCAAGTCCCTAACCCGGTGGCTTGAGAAATGTGCTGGGTGCAGGAGAAGTGGAAGAGAAAGGAGAGATGACATAAATATGCCGTGTGTGTGTGTGTGTGTGTGTGTGTGCACGCGTGTATGTGTATGAAGGGTTCTCACTTCTCTCTCTCTCTCTCTCTCTCTCCTTTCTCTGTCTCCTCTGGCAAACAAATAAAAAATAGAGGGGAAAAAAGAAGAAATTGCCCCAGTCACTCTTCCTACAAACAGAGGTCGGAATAGGAACCCAGGTTAACATTGCCAGATGTAGCAAATAAATTCCAGGACACTTTGTATTATTTATTTAATTTTGTTCAGTGCACTTGCCAGAAAGACCAAGAGAGACAGACAGACAGAAAACAAGAAATCGCCCCCCAGGGGGTATGGCCGTGCCGCAATCCCTTCTCCTCCATTCTCCTCCCGGGATCTTGGGCTCACACACGCGTCCGGCGCTGAGTTTAAGCTGCTAGGTCTAGGACTCGAACCGTGGTCAACTACATGGGAGTCCAGAGATGCAGCCATTATGCCATCTGCAGGTCTGCAGGACACCCTCTATTTTACGTGGTAAAACACAGACCCTCACCCGGGCATCTGTGTCTGGAGCTGAGGCCCGGGCCTCCACAGTAAAGAGTTTACCTGAGAGCCGGAGACTGGCTGGAGGCCCCAGTGCCTTCCCACGCAGCAGAGCTGGAGGTCAGCTTCAGAATGTCCCGTTTGTGTGCAAAAAAGCATGTTCAGTGTTATTACTTACTTGGGGTTGTGAGGTTGGGAGATGCCTATTGTTTTCACAATACAAACTACAGAAAGTGCAGTTTCCCAAGATCTTCTTGGCTATTAGGACATGAGAGGCTATCCACAGGGAGGGTGTTCGATGTTCATGTTCCTCGGAAAGGGAGCATGACTTGAAAAGAAAAAAAGAAAATGAAAAAGTTGAGAAACACTGACCCGGTTGAATCTGTCCCTTTCACGGGCGTGGAGTTGGAGGCCTCAAGAGGAAGGCGTGTGCCTCAGACCCACAGGGGTGGAGGACTCACTCAGAGAGCCGGTGAGAGCCAGGCCCTTCCTGCTCCCTTGAAGTTCAAAGTTCATTGGTTAGGATATCAGGAGGCCCAGATCTTTGCCAGCAATTTCTGTTTATTTGGCTGGAGTTGTAGGACTCTGACGCCCTGGCTGCCCGATAAACAATGTTGACCTCCTAGTGGCTCTGAAATGCAGGCCAGGGCGAAAGCTGGAAGTCTCTGCAGGAGTCAGAATCCTGAAGGAGCCCTGTGAGATAACAAAACAAGATAATGCTCCATCTCTCTGGAAGGAATTTAGCATTACTAACTTTTCTAAGGATTAAGGTACCCTATGGCAAAAACCTTAAAAAAAAAAAAACAAAAAAAAAAACAATGGGCCAACAAGTGACATGGTGATTGGGGTGCTGGACTCTTACATGGCCATCTAGGGTTCAAACCCCAGACCTGGTGACTTGCTTTCTCATTTTCCCTCTCTTGCTCTGTCTCTCTTTGGTCACATTGAAAATAATAATAATAATAATAATAATAATAAATACAACTAAACAAATAATTATTTTTTAAAAAAGAAAGAAAAGAAAAATGAAGACTTACCAGTAACCAATCCCACCACCAGGAAATAGAGAAATATTCCCAGACATCAATAAACTGGGGAAACAAAAATGGGGTTGTTTTATACGTGACACATCCTCTCCTACTCATTTCACTTAGCAGTACTTTTTTTTCTTTTCTGAGTGATTTTTGCTACTGGGAGCGAGCACTCGCCAAAGAGATAGAGAGACAGAAAGTGAGAAATGACCCCCCAGCGGTGATGGCCATGCTGCAGCCCCCCCTCTCCTCCAGTCTCCTCCTGGGATTTTGGGCATGCATGCATGTGCCTGCTGTAAGTTTCAGGTCACCAGGTCTGGGACTCAAACTGTAGTCGACAACATGGGAGTCCAGTGCCTTACCACCATGCCACCTGCTGGTCCATCAGGACATATTAAAGTGGTATGTCATGGACATCATTCCACACTGATGATATAACAGTGGCATCTTTTAAAAAATTATTATTATTTTAAATTTTGCTATAGGGCATGTGCATTCACCAGAGAGAGGGAGAGAAAGCAAAAAAGAAGCCTCCAGGTATGGAACTCGAACTGTTGTGGGCTACGTGGGAGTCCAGTGCCCTGTCTACCATGCCACTTGCTGGTACCAATAGCATCCTTTTACACAGAATATCATTATATAGAGACATCACAATTTTTTTTTTTGGTATCGGTTATGTGCATTCTCCAGAGAGAGAGACAGAGAAAGAGGGAGGGGAGAAAGCATCCCCCACAGGAATAGTCATACCGCAATCTCTCCTCCTCCACATCTCCCTCTTTTCAGGATTTTGGGCACATATGCACACGTGCCCAAAGTGTTTATCAAGCCACCAGATCCAGGTATTGAACCATAAAGTTGGCCATTTAGGAAACAGCTACCTTAACCATCAAGCCATGAAACCATCCCTGGATATCACAATTTTTTTTTTTTTTTTAAGATTTTTGCCAAGTACCAGCAGTTGGCATAACGGCTGTGTCACTGGACTCCCATGTAGTCGACCACGGTTCAAGTCCTGGACCTGGTGGCTTAAACTCATGCCGGGTGCATGTGTGAGCGTGCCCAAGATCCCAAGAGGAGAATGGAGAAGGGACTACGGTGTGGCCACCCCCCCCCGGGGGGTGATTTCTCACTCTCTGTCTCTACCTTTCTGGCGAGTGCACACGCCCTATAGCATAAAAACCTCTTAAGAAAAAAAGGTTTTTGCCATAGGACAAGTGTGCTTGCCAGAGAAAGGCAGTGAGAGGGAAAGTGAGAAATCCCCCCCCCCCCCGGGGTAATAGCCATGCTGCAATCCCTTCTCCTCCGTTTTCCTCTCAGAATTTTGGGCATGCATGCATACATGCCCAGCGTGAGTTTTAAACCACTGGGTCCAGGTCTCAAACTGGGGTCGACTACGTGGGAGTCCAGTGATGTAACCATTACACCATCTGCTGATCTCCTTGCATGATTTTCAACCCGTCAGGTCCAAGACTAGAACCATAGTCAGCCATGTGGGAATCCAATGCCTTATCCACTGTGCCACTTGCGTACCTCA